TACTTGCTCTGGCCAGTGGCTACACCACACTCAAGTTTACCATTGCTGGTATTGAGCGACATTTTAACTGGCGTTTATACATCAGCAAAAAGTGAAACAAAGCAGCTCTACTTTTTGCTTTATTTTGTGGCTAGTTTGTAGTTTTTTTTGTAATTGCAGCAAATTTTTTTGAACTTAAATGAAAATGCACACATACAAACACAGACATAGACATCTGTCCACTGTTCATCTTCTTCTTTTTTCAAACAAAAGCAGTAGCCCATCTGTCGTTTTGAAATGCTGCTTCTTTTTTTAAACGATGTCTTTTTGGTCTGTGGTCTTCAGACCCTTGACACCCTGGTCCTGCATTCGTAGATTAATTAATCTGCTGTCTAATTTTCTGTCAGTTGCCCACATTTGCAGTGAGTGTGCTGGTCGCGCGCTTGCAAATTTTTCTGTTTCTGCTTTGTCGAGCACACACATCTGTCTTCTGTTTTCAGTCGCTAATTTCCCTACACTTGCTAATTTCTCAATTTGCCACTCTGCGTGTACTTGCCACTGGTCTGTCTGGCGCTGGTGCTGTTTGCTGCCACTTTTGTCTGCTCTGGTTTGCGAGATTTTTGAGTCTGGTTTTCTTCTCCTTTCACTTTCTACCAGCACCTTTATTTTTTCCGTTTCATGGACGCACACAGTGTTCACTTACTAGTTCACTTAGTAGTACACCCCCGCTAGCTTTGATTTATTTTTGCAGCAGTGAGCAGCCATGTTCACTGCTGTGTTAGTGTTGTTGTTGTTTTCAGTGCTACTGTGACTGCTGCCGTTGCTGCTGTTAGCTGTCAATGGCATTGCGGCACTACAAATTGCGACCAGACAACTCGTTCATTCACCGCAGCAGCAGTGCACACCAACACACAGATTTATTTATAACTCTTTTCCCCCATGTTCCGTTATTCCCCCACTCTCTTTCTGTAAAGCTGATCACTAATTTGTCTTTCTTTTTACTTTCTTCTCCTCCTCCTCCTCCTCCTCAATCATTCACTTCACTGAAAAACTGTTACATTTGCACTTCTGACACCTTCTTCCTCCTCTCTACTTCTTCCCACCTCCGCAAACATGCAAACACCACCACCACCACCACCACCAACTCTTGCCTTACTTCACTGAACAAAAACTACTACTTTTTCTCTGACTCACATTTTCAGACGCCTTCACCTCGAAGCTCTCCGTTCGCATGAAGGACGGACCGGACTTTGTGGCCACCAACTTCACCTTCTACGACTGCTCCTCGTACACGTCCTGCACCAAGTGCGTCTCCAGTCTCTTTCCCTGCGACTGGTGCGTCGGCGGGCACCGCTGTACGCATGACACCGGCGAGAACTGCCGCAATGAGATACTGGTCACCGGCATCAAGTCGGTCGGACCGAGCATCCGCTCCGGTCCCAGCTTCTGTCCGCGCATCAACTCTACCACTGGCGGCTCAACTGAAGGTAGGACGCTTTTTTAACTGAAATGACCTTGCAATACTTAAAAGACAACCCTTTTCTCCAAACTTTCAGTGCTGGTCTCCTCTGGTTCCTCCGCCGTGATCTCCGTTCGCGTGTTCAACATTCCCCAGGCAGTGTCGATTCACTTCGTCTGCCAGTTCAACATTGAAGGGCGCATCAGCCTAGTCAATGCCAACCTCCTCACCGACACCATCTACTGCAAGGAGAAAAACTTCAGCTACGTGACCAACCAGACGAGCATCATCGTGCCGATGGCGGTCATCTGGGAGGACAACAAGCCGCTGGACAACACCGACAACATTCACGGTAAGCTAATCGAGCATTTTAGATAGGGGTCAATCAATCAAACTAATTCACATCTTTTCACGACTTTTGCATAGTGCGAGTATATCGCTGCGCCGGCCTGGCCAACAACTGCGGCGCCTGTCTGGAGCTGGACGAGCGGTACAACTGCGGCTGGTGCCAACAGCGGAACCGCCTCACCAATGAGCTCCACGAGAGCTGCGAGGTGGCCAGTCAGTGCACCAGCCCCGGCTCCAGCTGGCTGAACCGCCAGCAGATCTGCCCCAACCCCCGGATCCTCAACTTCTACCCGCGCTCGGGCCCGCTGGAGGGCGGCACCAATCTGACGATAGAGGGCATCAACCTGGGCCGCACCTTTGAAGACATCGAGAAGGGCGTCGGCATTGCCCACGAGCTGAATGGCAAGCACGTCAACACCATTCCCTGCTATCCCTTTCCGGAGGAGTACGTCAAGACGACCCGCATCAAGTGTCGCATTCAGTCGCCGCGCAATGTTTCTCTTTCTACTCACCAATTTGGCTCTCTGGTTGGACCCGTAGAAGTTCGCGTTCAAACGGAGTTCACCGCCCGCTCCCGGGACGTGTACACCTTCGTCAACCCTAAGATCCTCACCATCAACCCGAGCAAGGGCCCCGTTTCCGGGGGAACGCTGCTCTCCATCGAGGGCCTCAACATGAACGCCGGCTCAAGGGCGGAGGCCTTTCTCGGCAGCCTGCCCTGTAATGTCACGAAGAGAACCCTAAATCACGCCGAGTGCATCACCAGCGCCCGCGAGACGCCCGGCGACGAGCAGCTCATCATCATGTTTGACAGCGGCCAACGGACCTTTGACTACTACCGCTTCCTCTACGTGAAAGACCCGGTGGTGACCGCCGTCGAGTCGGGCCCGACGGGCATTTGGAAATCAATCGCCCGGGGCATTCCCAACGGCGGCATTCTCATCACCGTCCGCGGGGAGAACCTGAACATCATCCAGCGGCCGCAAATGTACGTCGAGGTGGAGGGCGAGCTGTACGTGAGCAACTGCACCGCCACGGCCGTCACCGGGACGGAGATGCGCTGCGAGTCTCCGTACGTTTCCGTCGACCAACTCGACTTTGCCTGGACGGACAAGGACTACCTCGAACTGGAGTACGGCTTCATCATGGACGGCGTGGCGAAAGTGCGCAACCTCAGCACCCGCACCGAGCGGCCCTTTCCCAAATTTCGCATGTACCGCAACCCGGAGTTTCAGCTCTTCTCCGACCCGCAGCAGATCAAGTACTACCGCAGCGAGTACCTCACCATCAATGTAAGAATCGAAACTTGGGGCTTGATCAGTTCTGAAACTGTACATTTACACTTTTTATCTTTACTACTTGGATTATTAATAGGCTCGCCACATGGAGGGCATCACCTCTGAGGACCTAAACGTGTGGATCGGCGCCGAACTCTGCAACATCACCGCTCTCTCTCCCATTCAACTGACCTGCCGCCTGCCCGCCGAACGACCGATGGCCGAGGAGGAGAACTACAGCGGCCTCACCTGGGACCGCCTGCCGGCCGTGGTGGTCGGCGTCGGCCGCCGCATGAACATCACCCTCGGACTGCTCAGCTACGACGAATCCAGTGGCGTCTCCATCTGGAACATCCCCACCACCGAGGTGTACAAGCACGTTTTCATCGTCATCGTCGTCGGCATCTGCGTCCTCTTCGTCGTCGTCGTCGTCATTCTCATTCTCTACCGGCGCAAGTCGACGGAGTCGTCGCGAGTCCTCAAGACTATGCAGGAGCAGATGGACGTGCTCGAGTTGCGCGTCGCCTCCGAGGCAAAGGAGGCCTTTGCCGAGCTGCAGACGGAGATCACCGACATCACCGCGGAGATCAACGTCGGCGGCATTCCCTTCCTTGACTACCGCCTCTACACGCTGAAGGTGCTCTTTCCGAACGCCGAAGACCACGCCGTCCTCCAGGACCTCGCCCTGGAGCCTAGCGAGCGCCAGCAGGTGGAGAAAGCCCTCCAACTCTTTGGTCAACTAATAATGAACAAGACCTTCCTCCTGCTGTTCATTCGCACACTGGAGTCAAATCGGTACTTTTCGATGCGCGACCGCGTCAACGTAGCCTCGCTGATCATGGTCACGCTACAGGGCAAGATGGAGTACTGCACTGGCATTCTCAAAACGCTCCTCGCCGAGCTGATTGAAAAGTGCATGGAGGGCAAATCGCACCCGAAGCTGCTCCTCCGGCGGACGGAGTCCGTCGCCGAGAAGATGCTCTCTAGCTGGTTCACCTTCCTTCTCTACAAGTTCCTGAAGGAGTGCGCCGGCGACCCGCTCTACCTGCTCTACTTCGCCATCAAGCACCAGGTGGAGAAGGGTCCGGTGGATGAGATCACCTCCGAGGCGCGGTACTCCCTCAGCGAGGAAAAGCTAATTCGCCAGCAGATCGACTACAAGCCGATGACCATCAACGTGGCCATACCGAACGCCTTCGGGCCCAGTCTGTACGGCGTCGTGCCCACCTACGACAATCCACATCAGATTTATGGCGGAGGAGGAGGGGGCTCGCCG